ATTTATAACTATGTTCCTCTACTACACATTCTGGATTTCCTCAACACTCAGCAAGCACCTCACCTGGTCTTTGCTCTTTCCTGGAAAAATGACCCATGTCTTAATTCTCTTTGTCATCCTACCTGGATTGGATTGCTGCAGTTTCTGCCTTTAATCTCAGGACATGGTAATACCAAGAGATTTCCCCCGACCCAAATATCACAGGAACTGCAGACATAATGTTTCTTCCCTCCACTGTGGAGAAGCAATTCTGCTTGGTAATCTGGACCAATCACTCCACATTTTTAGACTGTTGGATAAAAGACATCAGAAACCCAAATAGACCGGAGGCAAGTCTGAACCTTTAGTTCAATGGAATGTTTGTTCTGTCTCTTGGCAGGAGTGATCCTCCTCTGCAAACAACACTTCTAGGCCAGCAGAACTTAAAATCAGGGGAATAGGAATCAAAAAACTTCATAGTAGGTCACTAAGGATGAGAGTAGGTGGAACCTTAACTTTTTACCTCTTAACTCCTGGATCTATAGGTCCTGACTAAGGAGAAAACATACCATACAGTAGACAATTATTTGAAGTATGTGTCGCCTTCTAGAAAATGCTTCCCCAGCCATCCAGACTGCTAACACCTAATTGGTTCTGTAACTTTGTCTTTAAATTTTTTATCAGGACTGCTGCTTGAGGATGGTGGTAAGACCAGTGGATTCCATGATTGAGGACCCACTGACTTGTTTTTCTGGCTGTGAAGTGAGCTAGTTATCCAGAAGAATGGTGTGTTCATTCTGGGGTTAAGTGTTGGTTTCTGCTGCTGGCATATCTGGCACTCAGCAGCAGATATGCCAGGTCAGCCTCGATGACTGGAGGTCCATGTTGCCAGCGCCACATGTAACTACTATCTCTTTTACCATGACCAATTTGTACATGGCCCCTGTGCTAGCTGGTCTTAATGACAACTGGACACACAAACTAGAGTTATCCGAAAGAAGGGAACCATAATTGAGAATAGGCTCCTATGAAATCTGGCTATCAGGTATTTTCTTAATTAGTTATTGATGGGGTAGGTCCAGGATTGTGGTTCTATAGAAATCAAACTGAGCAAGCCAGGGGAAGCAAGCCAGCAAACAGCGCCCCTCCTCTCCAAGACTTCTGTCTCCAGGTTCTTTCCCCGCTTGAGTTCCTGTCCTAACTTCTTTTCGCGGTGAACAGCAATATGGAAGTTTAAGCATTATAAATCCTTTCCCTTCCAAGTTGCTTTTTAATCATAATGTTATTCCATAAGAACATAAAACCCTAACTAATACAGTTTGGTACCTGCCTAGTGAGGCATTGCTCTGACAGCCCTACTATGGTTTGAGGAGGATTGTGGAAGGACTTTGGAACTTTGAGCTAGAAAAGCCACTGAATGTTGGGAGCTCAGTGGGATGTGTCTGTAGGACCTTTGGTAGAGAAGAATGTTGAGAGCAATATGGAGGATGGAGGACTGTCCTGTGATGTTTCAGAAAGAAGTTTAGAGTCTACCAGTGCCCATGGAGGGGCTATGTCCTGTATTTCAGAGCTGACAGGAGAGGAACTGAGAGCTTTGGGTTCTGCTGACTTTGGGAGGAGGTTTGTCCTTTGCCAAGAGGCATGGAGGAAGGAGAAAGAGCTGAGGCCAAAGAAAGCTTGAACATAGAGGATCTCAGACCACTTGCCCATGCATTGGCAGAATTTGTCCAGATCAGGGAGAATCTGGTAGTCGAATGGGGGTTATCTACTGATTACTGAGAATGACTGTCAAGCTTATATTTCATCCAGGATATATTATAGTAAAAATGAGGTGGGGAGGCTTAATGAGACCTAGGAAAGTGAGATGGGAAAGAGACATATGGGCAGAAGCATGCAGAGTTGAGGAGTCAAGCTTGGCATGAGAAAGCCCATGATTGAGCAAGTAAGAGAGACAGAGGGGGTAAGCACTACTGAAAATGCATCAGTAGAGAACTTCAGAGTGAGGGGGATGTGGGGTAGGCTCAGAGAAGAGACCAGTGGAATCCCACCATGAGGAGGATTCCAATAGCATAGGAACAAAGGCACGGGGAAGGATGCAGTAAGTGATAAAGGGACAGAGTCTCAGTATGAGGGTGTCCCCAAAGAGAAATAGACTTGTTAGAAATATGATCTGGGTCCTAGAGGACAGCCATCCCTCTCTAAACGATGGGGTGCCCACGCAACTCCCATCAATAAAAACATTTAATTGGGTCTGGCTTACAGGTTCAGACATTTAGTCCATTATCAGCATGGTGGGAACAGACAGACATGATGCTGGAGAGGTAGCAGTGAGTTCTAACTCAGGATCTGAAGACAGCAGGGAGAGTTAACCACTGGACCCAGCTTGGGCTTTTGAAGCCTCAAAGCTCACTGCCGATGACAAAGTTTCTCTAATAAGGCCACACCTTCTAATCCTTTCGAATGGTGCCGCTTCATACGCATTTAAATATATGAACCTTTGGGGACCATTTTTATTCAAACCATGACAACGGAGAAAGGAAATGAGGGCTGGGGATGTAGTTCAGTGGCAAAATGCTAACTTGTCTTGGACATGCGAAGTTCTGGGTCCCTGCACAGTGACAGTGAGGAGGCAATCCTCAGGATGGGTGGAAATGTCTGCAGCTCGGGCATCTGAACCTAGAATCCTGGAGAACTTTAACAGCTGAATACCAGAGCCATCCTTAACACCCACCAACCAGAAAGACTGAAAGGTGCCCACCCTGCAGAAAGCCCTGGGTTTTATCCCCCACATCTCTCTCTCTCTCTCTTCTCTCTCTGTCTCTCTCTCTCTTACACACACACACACACACACACACACACACACACACACACACTTACTAAATACACGAATACAGATTGTTGATTTATTTAAAGTGTTAAAGAAAGATAATAAGCGTCTTCATGGATAGGCAGAATTCAAAGCCTTCTTATGCAGCCAGTAGGGATGCAGAAGGGGGCGAGGCCGTTGGGAAGGTTGACAGTCCCACAATGCAGCAAACCCACTGTAGGTGTGTACGCAGATGAACAGAACTCAAGGCCTCAGCAGGTGCTGCAGCCATTCTCCGTGAGGGCTCTTCGTACTCAGCAAAGGGCTGGCATGCTAGACAACGGTGCCATCTCCTGTTACAGTGTGTGTGACCTTGCCGGTGGCTCAGTGAAGGAAGCCAGACACGGGGGTTGGGGGAGGGCTGTGTGATGTGCCTCCATCACAGTACATGCATATTCAGATATAAGGAATTAATACAAATACCCAGTATTCTAACGATTGTCAGGAGATGTGGGCGGGGCGATGGCCGTGACTCGTCAATGGGGATGGAATCTATTCAGCAGTGAATAGATTAGTTTGAAGCTGGACCAACTGGAAAATCATGCTTGGGGTTAGGCAAGATGACTACACTAGACCCAGGCAGGAAGGAAATGTGAGGCCCGAGGGGAGGATCTCTGGGGGGAGGCCCAGCTGCCGGGTCCTTCCTCACTGGAACTGTTGAGGGGGAGGCGTCCAGCCAGAGTCCTGGAGTGCAGAGCAGTGCTCCTCCGTGTCCCTCCTTGACAGGTCACTGGCTTTGCCCTCCTTCCATCGGCTCTCTCTTTCGGGGAGGAAATGTCTGATGAGGATTGTCGACATAATTAACGACATCTACTGTTGCCCTTGGTATGCCTTCTTTGGGCTTTGCTGTCATCGACAAACACTTTGAGGTTTGTTTTTTGTTTTTGTTTTATTTTGTTTCTTTTTCTTTTTGTCTTTACTGTTTCATGGAGGCCAGTGCTTGGAAACCTAACCCACTCCAGTCCCTTCATATCCAACAGCTGCACAGCATGGAGAACGCATGGAACTAATGCCCCCATGCCAAACACTCCAAAATATCTGCCTTTCTGTCACATGAGTCTATAGTGTGGTGGAGAGGAAAAACTCTAAACAAGAACTAGACTTTACTTCAAATCATTCCAGGAGCTCTCTCTCTCTCTCTCTCTCTCTCTCTCTCTCTCTCTCTCTCTCTCTCTCTGTGTGTGTGTGTGTGTGTGTGTGTGTGTGTGTGTGCGCGCGCGCGCGTGTGTGTGTATGCGTGCGTGTGTGTTACATAGATATATATGTATATACACACATATACCATGTGTTGAAAATGGAGGAGTCTGCTGATAGGTATAAGGGTGTTCATGCTCCTTCTAGTTTTGTACAAGTATGATTTTAACAAGGGGCAGTTGGCTTGTTCCTAGACTTTGACTACAAACCATTTGAGGTACAATAAGCATGTAAGTTAGAGGGCAGTAACAAAGTGTGAGTGACAATCTCTCCTACCCTATTGTCACTAGAGGCCACACCCCTGCCAACAGGAGCCGCGTGAACACTGTCTGGCCATTTTCCATGCATCCATCTCTTTCATGGGATTGGTCAGCGGGAAACCTAGAAAGAGGCTCACTGCCCTAACTAGGTATACTAGGGATAAAGGAGCTGGTCAGGCCAACAGGATCCATGCAACGGCAGGGGTTAACTCTTCCATCACTGCTAGATGTGGACAAGGTCAGGAGTCCCTGAAGGGACAGTGGGTGCAAGAGGAAAAGTGTGAGGCAGGAACTGGGCACCAAGTGGTGCCAGATGCAGAAAGTAGACTTAGGACACAGGTTCCCTTCTCAGTCCTGAGGCTGAGGACCACAGGTTTGGCCCATACACTTGCATAATCCCACGAAGTCGGCAGAAGCTGAAGGCAGACATAACCAGAGCCTAGACAGGGGCTGACCTACCTTCCAGGGACCGGGCTTTTGGGTAGGGGCAGATACAGAAGTGGCAGGAGGGAGGGGCCACAAAGAGATCCCAGGCTGAGGAACAAGATCTAGAGCTGTCAGAGGCCTGGGAGACGGAGACTGACTGTGTACAGGCTCCTGTGCATGTGGGACTCACAGTCAGTGACTGTCACTGTCCAATCCAGGCACACCAGAGCCAATCAGACCATGGAAACCAAATCCACAAACAGGCTCCTGGGAATAAGCCTCAACATTTGAGATATTCTAGGCTCATTTGGGGTTCGTGATCTTGGCCAAAAAGAGAAGAGACTGGGTATTTGTGTCGAGGAGAATCATGAAGAATGGCCTGCTAAAACTCACAATTAAGGGGTTCACTTTTTGAGACAATAAGACGAATTTGAATCCTGTGGCGGCAGCTGCCTCTGTGCCTGCCTCAGCCACTTCCAGCACAGCCTTGTGGACCACCTGTAAGACAAAGATATCACTCACTGGAGACCAGAAGGGCAGGACAGGAGATTCTGCTGGAGAAGTTGTTTGTTCCTAGCACGAGCTCTCACCCTGGGGTTTCCAAGTCTCTGCTCAGGGTGTGAGATGAGGTGTGCCCTGGGTCTGCTCAGTCTCTGAGAATCTGTGTTGCCCTCAAACCCACTATGCACAGGAGGATGGGTATAGGCATTCTTACCCCACAGGCAGCTTCTCAGGAGACCCACAGCGAACAGCCAGGGTGCTGGCAGCCAGTGCAGGCTTCAGCATCCCTGCTGCTTTGGCCTCCTTGGGACACACAACAGCAATGCACAGGGCATGGCTTCTCATTCCCACACTGTCATGCCCTGCTGGTACAGATCTGCCCCCAAAGCTCTGAGTGGGCCCTGGACAGAACACTAGGCATGGCCAGGCTGTGCATCTGGGGATGCAGTGTGAGGTCCCAAGGCATTTTCTCTCATGTTTTTAAGCTTTCATCACAACTGCCATTCATCCCTTGTGATTTCCTTTACTATCTCTGATCTGTGTGCCTGTCAGAAAGTCCTCTGCAGATGTGCAGTGAGGAAACTGAGCTGCAAATCTTTCTCCTGCAATGCATTGGTGTGGGTGGCATCCTCACTACATCACAGGTTGGTGCCCATGGTGGTCTAAGGCCAAGCATCAGCTCTTTCCTACCCTGGGCTCCTAGGTGAGATTATGTTCATGGTTTAGAGTTTAGAGAAAACTGGATGCATGGTATCCAGCAGGAGTATCTAATCCAGCTGTAATCTAATCCAATTATCCCAGGTATGAGATAATCCCAGGAATGCAAGCTTCCTCACACATTTGCTACCCACCACACACCTGGCCTTCCCCATCCACATCCAGTCCCCAATGAGAACAACCCAGTGTGTCTCAGTTTACCTGAGAGACTCTCAGGTCCTTGGCCCCTGTGATCCCAGACAGGTCAGCCTGTGTGGAGAAGACTTCCCTGATGCCCAGCTGTGGAAGGATGCCCTCCAGGCTGTAGTCAGTGGAGATGGAGAACTTGGGCAGGTAGAGCTCATCGATCATCCTGAGAGTATAAGAGAGAAATGAGAGAATCATTAAATGCCATTGTCCCATCAACACTCCTTGTAGCTGAGGAGCCAGAATCAGCCCTGTCCCTAGAGAGCAGCCCTCTTCCCATCCATGCCTATTCCACTCGATTTTCCTCATGGTAATGCATTAATTACCTGCATTAATTAGTGCCTGGGAGCGTTTGCAGGGGCAGGCAAAGTAGGAGCTATTCCTCAGCCTAGAATGCTTTCCTCCAAGATCCACAATGTGCAGTCCTTCTCCTATTGTGTGGACCTTCAGAGTTCTCCTAATGACCCTTCCATTTTAAATTTCACACTGCATCAGACTCTAGCTCTCCTTGTCTTTGAACCCACCCCTTCTCAACCTCACATTCCTCACTCTTTAACTAACCAAATAATGACTAGTTGTACTTTGGACTCCCCACTCTCTCCTTGTCAATTAAAGATGAGACCTTGAGGGTAAGAAACACTCTACTTTCATCACTGATGTCCTCTCAGGTCTACATCAGAGGCCGGCACACAGAAGGTCTCCAAGTCATCATTCCATGAATGGTAAATGAGTGAGTGATGAGGCACTGAGATGGATACACCGTAGAGCTGATGCTCAGACATGATGTCTCAACTTCACCCCCCCTCTGCCCTCAAAAACCCATTCAGAATTCCTTGAAATTACATCCTGTTAGACCACAGACGCATCCTCAGCTCCTGTTCTAGCTGGTGTCATCTTGTAAACAACAAAAATGACAGTAAAATAGGCCCCAAACTACCGGGTCAACAGAAGGAAATCCACCTGCCTCCACTGGTCCCCACTGACTCTCTTATTATTACACTGAGTCCTAGTGAGACTCTGAGGTACAGGGGCATTGGGCCTCAGGCTGACAGCAGGATGGGAAACCACCAGCTCTGGTTCCTGTGGACGCGCACCTGGGCTCCAGAGAGTCCTTCCATCTCCTCAGGGTCTCTGGCTGTAAGCTGGCTTCCACCTTCTGCATGCTGCCCTCATCAGGGAGGATGAACAGGGCACTGGCATTGCCTGTGTACTTCAGCTCCACCACTGAGCAGGACAGCTCCTCATCCCAGAAGTAGGGTGTGGTCAGGTCCTCAATGCTCATCATGGGCACCTTCACAGTCCTCTTCTTGTTCAAGTGGAACTCCGACTTGACAGTATCTTGAGGGTCAAAGAGAGTGTCCCATTTTCCTAAAGATGAAGCAGGTCATCAGATAGTAACATCACCTGAGAGATCCCACCTCCATCCCATTTCTATCCAGCTTCTAAGTTATGACAAAAATCAACACATCTTTAACACACAGAGTATGCCCCAGGGGTGGCCAAATGCTGGACTGAAAAAAAAAAACTTGTTAAATAGATGGACAAGCTCCTAGAGATGAGAAGAGACTCCATGCTTGGTTTGGGACGGAGAACATCTAACCTTAGCCTGGCTACTTGAGTCCTGAATAACAGTCATGGTTCTAGGCTTGTGATATGAAAGAGAGAGATGAGCATGATAGTGCTGAGTCTGGAGCGTAGAGAGTTTTGGTCCCATCTTCCTCAGGAGGAATGGTGTCTTTTGGGACAGGTGTAGGGCAAACAGGACTGGGGAGTTGAGTTCTCCCACGCCACGGGCAGTCCATCCTCCCATATATTGTGGACTAAAATGTGTGTAGCATGTCCTCGGCTCACACATGGGCTTTTGACACCTCCACAAATCACAGATGTCCTGTTCAGACTTATCCCGGATTCCTAGTTTATGTCTCCATCACCAACACACCCTGCAGGACTTTGTACTGAAATGATAGTTTGGGCTCAGGATCCAGCAGCCTAAACATGCATCCCTACCTCACTGCCAAGCAGCCTTGGAGCTTGGGTCCTGATGCTAGAGAGAGCCACACTCTGCAGTCTCATCCTTCAGGCCATCACTGTGCTTCCAACATTCCCAGCCCACAGCAGCTCCACAGTCATCCTGTCCTCATATCCTCTGTCCTCCCTTCTTTCCTCTTTACTTGCCCATGGCCGCCTTGATTTTTGCTCATAGTCTATGATCCTGCCCTCCCTCTACCCTGGACTTTCCTTAATCCAGCCCCAGATCCACTCCAGGTCTGATTACATCATGACTTGTGTCAGGCACCAGGTTCTGAGTTGTCACCATGCTCCCTGGTCTCTATCAGGCAGGGTATTGAGGATGTGGTCTCTGGATGCCTCCTACTTCCTTTACCCATTACATCCCCAGCTGAGTCTCCAAACTCTCTTGCATCCTTATTTAACAGTAATACCCAACTCTCATAAGACTCGCTGGCCCCAGAGTGTGGCAAGGCATTCTGACATTCAAGTTGCTGGGCTAGCAAATTTACAAAAGCAACATTACAAGAGCATCCATACACTAAATACAGAACAGTGCCTGGCCAACACTTCCCTCTCATGAATGTCTTCTCCTGTATCCCTTGTTTTCCATATTCAGGTCCAGCTCATTTCTGAAATGGATCAAGGGAGAGGGCCTACCTAGGATTTGCCCATAAGGCCCTTCAGTGGTTATAGGACATACTACTTTCCCCCTTAAGATTGGGTATGCACACTTCTTAGCTTAAGAAGTCTCTAGCCCATCTGGACCATTCTAGAAACAGACTCTCCAGCAGGGATGGAAATCTTTTACAGTATCCATATTAAAAATCCTAGGGTGGGCATTCTGAGGGACCCCATTTCTTCAGGGAAAAGCCATAGCATCTGCACACTCAGGTAGGGTGGGACACATTACTTATGCATTCTGCTTGCCAGTAAGTTTAAGTCGCAGCCAAATTCAGCTCTAAGGAAGAAGTAGAGCCCATGGATAGAGAGACGTGAGGCACCCTTTTCTCTAGGGTTGTATCCTTTCCAACATAAGGATACAAGGTATCCAGTCAACATCTTTTCCACCAAACCCCCAACCAGTGGCCATCCTCACCTTTAAAATAGATGTAATTCACCAGCACCATTAACGTCTGATCATCCAGGTCTGAGATCAGGTCCTTGATCTTCCCCTGGGTGTGTTTGCTCACATAGTCATTGATGAGATTTTTGGCCTCATGAGGCTGCTGGAAGTTGACTGTGATGGCCTCAGCTTGGTACAGGGCCTTTGCTTTCTCCTTGAACTCTGCCAGGATCTGCAGGTTCTTTTCAACAAACATGGCACTGCCTGTGCTGATCTGCACCTGGTCCCCTGGCTGGCTGAGCATGTGGAGGAGGTGGCCAAAGCCCCTGTGGATGTCTGCCTCAGGGGTCTCTGTGAGATTGAACTTGAGACCTTCCAGAATCTCTTCCAGGGTGTTGCTGCTTGCTCCAAGGGACAGGAAGGCCAAGGCAAATGAGATGCTGAATGGGGAGAAAACAATGTTTTTATCTGGATTCTTCAAAACCAGCTCCTTGTAGAGGCTGAAGGCAAAGTCGGTGTTGATGGTGGCCAGGGTTAGACTGTCCACTTGTGTCCCATTGTTTTGATCTCCCTGAACTTCAGTGTTACTTCCCAATGTGCCATCTTGTTGGCAGAGAACAGCAGGGAAGATCCCTGCCGTCAGGAGCCCCAGGGTTACAAAGAGGGTCATCTTCTCTGTTCTCCAGGCTGAAAAGTAAAGACTATTTGAGTCTGGGACTGCCAGGTGGCATCCTGACCATCTCCTTGTCCACAATGCAGGGCTGCATTGTGTCCCTGCTCTGCTGCCCCTGGATGCCTCCCTGACCATGCATGGGCAGTGCTCTGGCCACTCAGATGGAAGCACCACATCATGTATTTATCGCGGGAGGAAGTGCTGTTGCTACAATCAATTCTCCTTACAGAGAAGCAAGATCCAAAGAGGCTCTTGGGCATGCCAGGTTCACAGAGCAAGCCAGAACAGGGGTAAAGAGACGAACACCAACCCTGTCTGATCAGAATGTCTCTCCCCTTCTCTGTGCAGAAGGATTCATTTGAAGGCCATGATGCCTCTTCCTCTGCACACACCCCCTCCCACTGCAGAACTTAGGCATGTTGGAGCAGTAGTTAGCACAGGCCCTGACCTAGCCTTTTAGTGACAAGTCTGGGAAATCTCAGGGCTCTTGACTGAACCTGGTGCGTGAAGCTGGACTTGGGGAGGAGCAATTGAGAGGCAGCACTGGTGACATCTGGTTCAGTGCCAAAGCCTTGGCACCCCTGAACACAGGCAGTGGGAAGACAAACAGGGCAACGTTCCGTCCTCCCTGCCAGAGAATCACATGGCAGTTTGCACCCCAGGCTTCGAAGGCCTCTCGGTTAGAAGAAAAGTGGGTGGTGTCCATCTCTGACACCTGGAGCAGAGTTGGTTTTGGCTCTTGGTAGCAAGAAAATGGGTGGCACCTCTATGGGAAGCCTGGTGAGTAGCCCAGGTGACATTATTGATAAGTGTCTGGCTTATTATGAGGTTAAATGGAGTCGGTTGTAGGGAATGCCTAGAGGCTGTCTCTTCCATACGCCCCTGGATTGGGGGTCACAAGCATCCTAAAGGACTTCAGCTGAAGACTTGTGATCATGGTCAACACGGGCACCCATCTTCAGCCTCTGCCCATTTGTTCAGGTGTCCAAAGGTGAACGTGGATGGTAAATGAGAGGAAGGAGAGGAGGAAGGGAACGGAGGGATGCGGGGAAGTAAAAGAAGAGGGGCAAGGAGACAGGAAGAGGTAGAGCTAGGGAAAGGAGGAGGAGACAAAGGAGAGGTGCTGGGAGAGAAGACTAGAAAGCATGGAAAGAATTGGAGGGAGCCGAGGAGAAAATGTTGGAGCTAAATGGCTTGTCCCCAGGGCTGTCACATGCCTGCAGAGGAGCCAGGACCTCAGCAAGTTGGCTGCCTTCACCCCGTGTTTACTTTCAGACTGATGCAACCATTTCTTTGGAAAGGCACTGAATAATATCTTGTGCCAAAATTGTTTCCAGAGGAAAGGGGTGGCTCGGTGTGTGTAGCAGGACACCCATCCCAGTGGCTGAGCTATTTCCGTCTTTGCTTCCCTAGTTGTGGGTGATGCCACTCTGCTTGGCCATGGCACCTAGGAGGGAAGAGGGTCCCTCATCCCTGGGCAGCTCCTGTCAGCTGTAAGCATGGCAGGGCTGCCACCTCCCCCGGGGGACTCTGTATCAGTCCTGTCTCACCCTGGCTCCGACAGCAGCACTCAGACTAGGTCAGGTCTCAATACTTCTGCCCCATGGAGGGTAAGAAGGAGCAGGATCCATTTGCTCTCCGGGAGCACAGCCCATGGTACCCACATCTTCCATAGACGTGAAGGCCAGACTGGAGAGATTGTCCCCTGACTCCACCCCAGTGTTCCAGGAACAACTCATCACCCCTCCTCCATTAAAGGCTTCGGGTCATCACCAGTACTGCTCAGTCCTTGGAAGTCTCTTTCTCTGTCCCCAGAGAGTAGGAAAGTGGCATTACCTGCAGAGCTGATACCCGCCGGCAGCGTCTGTGACATCTGAGTCCTGCTATTCAGGGTTGCTGCCTGCCTGGTGTGTTGTTTCTCTCCTGCACACTGATGTCTATTTATCCCCACCACAGACTCCTCCCTCTTCTTAGGAAAGTCTGGCAAGTACGAGCTGTGCTCTGTGCTCAGACTGGAAATGGGCAGACAGGGTGATTTCTGGTAATGTGCATTTAGAGGCTCATGCTGGCAGAAACACTTCCAGACAGGAAACTGCTCAAACGTGTTCTAAACAAGCCCACTGGATCTCTTGGGCATGTCATGATCGAATAGAGTATGTGTGATACCTGCCCCTTGTCACCAGGGGCCTACAATTGTCCTAGACTTTCTAAGTCACTTAGAAAAGAACACAGCAACTTCTCCCATGATACCTTTTTCTCTAGGGAGACTCACATTAATAAATACATGTCTCAGTGTTAACAGAATCCAACCTGCATCTGTGTAACTGTCCTGTCCTAGAGCAATGAGCATAGTCACAATAGAGACTTGCTCTCCCCTCTTTGGACATCAGACTTCTGAAGGGAAGTTGCCTTGTCTGGCGGTGAAGGAAAATCCCTGAAAGGAATCTGGGTCTGCAGAACTTGGCTGGCTGACCTGATCTCAGTACTATATAGAGATGGGGACATTGCAGGACAGAGGCCAATTCCCTTCTCCTGGGCTAACTGCTGCCTCCTCGAACAGCCACGTTTGCCTCCTCTGTGTCAGAACTAAACCTTGTGACAACCGAGTCTATTAACTTACAGACGACAACTAGGTTCAACCCAATAGCTAAGAATGCCAGCAGATAACATCTTGAGCCTGCAGAGAAGCTCCTCTGTTTTGTTGCACCTGCCTCTCTGAGGTTCCCACCATTGCATTTAAACTTGCCTTGAATGGTGACTTTTTCTTTCTTTCTTTCTTTCTTTCTTTCTTTCTTTCTTTCTTTCTTTCTCCCTTTCTTTCTTTCTTCCCAGTTTGGAGGAGTAGATGATTTTATTTTTTTTCTTATTTTACATATTAATCCCAGTTCCCTCTTCCTCCCTCCCTCTCTCTGTCCCTCCCATGCCCCCCGACCACCCTCCCATCCATTCCTCCCCCACTCCACTGGGAGGGTGATGCCTTCCACAAGGGGTCATCAAAATCTGTCAAGTCATTTGGAGTAGTGACTAAGCCCTCCCTTCTGCCTCTACATTAAGGGAGTATCCCTCCATGGGGAATGTGTTCCCAAGGTCCTTTTGTGCACCAGGGATACATCCTGGTTCCACTGTCAGAGGTTCCTTAGACTGCCCAGGCCTTCTAACTGAGACCCATGTTTAGGGGTTCTGAGTTGGTACGATGCTGATTTCCCAGCCATCAGTCTGGGGGTCCATTAGCTTCCCCTTGTTCAGGTCAGCTGTCTCTGTGGGTTTCTGTAGCCTGGTCTTGTCATCCCTCTCTGCATCTGGATTCCAGTTCAGCTCAGTGTTTAGTTGTGGGTGTCTACTTCTGTTTCCATCAGCTACTAGATGAGGGCTCTATGATGGTGGGTAAGTTAGTCATCAATCTCATTATCAGGGAAGGGCATTTAAGGTAGCCTTTCCACTGTTGCTCAAATTGTTAGTTGGGGTCAATCTTGTAGGTTTCTGAACACTCCTCCACTGCTGGTGAAATGCAAACTTGTACAGCCACTTTGGAGATCAGTATGGTGGTTCCTCAGGAAAATGGGAATCAGTCTACTCACAGGACCCGGCAATTCCACTCTTAGGCATATATCCAAATGATCTACATCCATGCAATAAAGACATTGGTTCAACTATGTTCATACCAGCATTATTTGTAATAGCAAGAACCTGGAAACAACCTAGATGTTCCTCAATTGAAGAATGCATAAAGAAGATGTGGCATATTTACACAATGGAATACTACTCTGTGGGAAAAAATAACAAAAACCAATGGAATATTGAAATTCGCAGGCAAATGAATGGAACATGAAGAAACCATCCTGAGTGAGGTAACCCAGTCACAAAAAGAGAAACATGGTATGTACTCACTCATATATGGATTTTAGACATACAGCAAAGGATCACCAGCCTATAATTCACACCTCTAGAGAAACTAGGCTACAAGGAGGAACCTAAGAGATTCATACAAGGTCCTTCACAGAAGGAGAAAGGAACAAGATCTCCTGAGCATATTGGGAATTGGGGGTCAGTGAGTGGAGAGGGAGCTTGGAGAAAGAGAAGGGGAGGAGAGGAAAGCATGCGGGACTAGGAAGATAGAGTCAGGGGAGGAATCGAGAAGAGAGAATGAGAGAGAGAGAGAGAGAGAGAGAGAGAGAGAGAGAGAAAGAGAGAGAGAGCATAAAAGAGGGAGCCATTATAGGTTTGAAGAGAAAACTGACTCTAGAGATTAGTGACTTTCTTTCCCTTGTAAATCTATAAAATTTTTGTGAAATAGCTCCCACATTAGAACATGGAATGTGGGTAACCTAAACCTGTGTTCTCGGACCATAGTCACTCACAATGACTCATATAAAGCATCTGTTATTCCCTTTGGGATGACAGCTGTGGCGTTTGTGTCAACAGTGGGGTCAGACACAGCAGGCAGGTGTCAGGTTCAAAGCCACTGTCCCCAGAATGAAGGTGCTGGTCATAGCAAGAAGAATTTTGGCTGAATAAACAGAAGCTTAAATGCAGTGTACCAGAGAATATATCACCCATGGTGCATTTCTCCAGGCCAGGTGCCACCCCCACCTTCCCACAAATGTCAGCAACCTCAGGCAAGGGCACCCAGCTCCCCTTCAGTCCAGACAGGCTGGATCAGCTGATCCCTACCCTGCTCTCATATAAAATCTGCTCTCTTTTCTGCCATTTAGCCACTCCAAGGACTCAAGTGAGGCTTTAAACTTCCCTCGGAAACATCACAAGCCAGGCCTCCATCCTTTACACTGCTCTCAACATTCTGGTCTGCCAACTCCCACAGAACACCCCACTGAGATCCCAACGTTCAGTGGCTTTTCTAGTCCCAAGTTCCAAAGTCCTTCCACAATCCTCCCAAACCATAGTAGGCCTGTCACACCAAAACCCCACTACACTGGTACCAACTTGTCTTACTTAGTGTTTCTATGGCTGTGACAAAACACTGACACAAAAAAGCAAGATGGGGAGG